GTGGTAAGGGAGGGGGTGGGGGCAGGGGGGAGAAATAAACCAAGCCTTGTATGCACATATGAATAATAAAAGAAAAATGAAAAAAGAAAAAAAAAATAAAAAAGCAAAAGACGAGTTTTGAAGGAGGACGAAGCCTCTCTGGTGGGCTGGAGGGAGGGAAGAATATGAACTTGACAATTATTTAGATTGCTGGACGGCAAAGAAAAAAGGAAGAATCTAGGCCAAGTCAATTGAGGTTGAGTTGTATACTAGCTATATTTATTGGATGTATAGTGCTACTCTGAGAACTTTCCATCATTGCTTCGATTAATCCTCACATAACCGATATCATTGCTATCCCAAGACCATACACATGGTACATGGCTGAGCCATGGCACAGCCGCGTTAACATTCTCACTAACATGCTGTCCTTGGGCTTATCCCTGGGATTGAAAACGGGATTGAAGCAGGGCAAGTGGAGACAGTTTACAGTGTGGCTGAAGAAGCAAGACACAGACTTGTCACACAATTTGAGAACAATTCAGGGAGTGGATGATGTCACCTTCTGTCAAGAGAAAGGTTACCAGGAGGAAGAGCATTGGAAACCCCAGGTCTGAATCCAGGTTCTCCTACCTGCTTGCTGTGCAACATGGGAAAATCACTTAACCTCTCTGAAACCTCAGTTTCACATCTTTAAAAAAAAATGGGGGAGGTAGTTGTTGTGGTATTGAAATAGGATTTGATGAGACAATGTGTGGGAAAGTGTCCACATGTCATTTGCCTACAAAACCATGTCTTATAAAGAGTGGCTAAAGCAACTGTGTATGTTTCAAACAACAGCTCTCTCTTCTTGTACCAACTTTTAAGGCACACTCATGTATGACACACTCTCTCATGAGAGCACCTTGATTTTGACCAAAAGAAAATCCAAACCAGCCAGATGCCAGTGGCTCACTCCTATAATCCTAGCTACTCAGGAGGCAGAGATCAGGAGGATCACAGTTTGAAGCCAGCCCTGGGCAAATAGTTCAAGAGACCCTATCTCAAAAAAAATGCTTCACAAAAAAGGGCTGGTGGAGTGACTTGAGTGGTTGAGCACCTGCCTAGCAAGTGTGAAGCCCTGAGTTCAATCCCAGTGCCACCAAGAAAAAAAAAAAGAAAAACCAAACCAACAAAAAATGCTGAACTTACATAAGGAAGAAAAGCATCACTCATTTACTCTTGGGTTGTCACTTCACCCCCTTCTCTCTCACTGAGGAAAGCAGGTGAACAGAAGAGATGGTACTGCCAACAGAGAAGTGGGGGCTTCTTGAGTGTTAAAGCAAGACAGAGGATTGCATGCTGAAGACAGGTGAAGGCGGGAAGGGTTTTGGGGGAGAGTCATGTGGTCAGAGTATTTTAGAAGCATTAGAGAGAGAGAGAGAGAGAGAGATCACACCTGATGGCCACATGCAAACAGATTGAAGATAATCTCGAAACCACTCAAATGTCTATGAAAAGCTCACTTGGGAGGCAGAGGCAGGATTGAAAGTTTGAGAGATAGGGTAAGATCCTGTCTCCAAAAATTCTTCTCCAACATTGTTACTTCTGCTCATCAGCGGAGTTTACTCGCAAATCTCCTCCTAACTAACTGTGACATTTGAGAAGGGCTGTCTTTGCAGTCCCTGGGTGGCTGTGACAACTGTCTTCAAGTCTCTGAAGGTAGGCACGGAAGATCTCTCTGTAAGTCCCCCAAGGGCAAAGCCAGGACCCTTGTGGATGGAAGGAGAGTAGCAGTCAGCAGACCCAGCTGAATAACAGGAAGCACTGGCTCAAAGTCAGCAAGATGCGTGGCCTGGCAAGGTAGTGACCCATGTTGTTCATTTACCCATTGCTGCTCAGTGTTAGACACTGGAGACAGGCAGAACTGAGCACACCTCCAGGACTTGGCCATCTAGTGGGAGGAATGAGGGATGACTGATCAGTAGACACCTATGCTAGAGTGAGAGCTGGGGCCGTAGTCAGGGGAGGCACCCTGGAGGAGTTGCCTCTGTGAGGAATGTTAAAGGATGAATTAACAGTTGCTAGAGAAGCCGGGTGCTGGTGGCTCACGCCATCCTAGCTACTCAGGAGGCAGAAATCAGGAAGATCGCAGTTCAAAGCCAGCCTGGGCAAATAGTTCGCGAGACCCTATCTTGAAAAAATTCATCACAAAAATAGGGATGGTTGAATGGCTCAAGGTGAAGGCTTTGAATTCAAACCCCAGTACCACAAAGTAAAAAAATAAATAAAAAATAAGGAGTTGTTAGAGGGCTGGTAGAGTGGCTCGAGTGAGGCCTAGCAAGCGTGAGGCCTTGAGTTCAAACCCCATCACTGCCCAAAAAAAAAAAAAAAGGGTGCCAGGAGGAGCCAGGAGGGGCTGCAAAGGAGCAAATGTTACAGGAAGGTGGACTGGATGGGTCAGGTCCCCGAGCCAGGTTCTACTTAATACAGGAGACATGGTCCTGCAATGGCTGTATGATAGAGAGGCAGGAACAGAACACTTAGAAGGAAAAGCTGACATGACTTAGTGACTGATGGGATGGGGTGGAGGGAACAAAGAAATTGGAGTTAAAGATAATGCTCCAATTTCTGGCTGCCATCCTGGGGCAGGGGGATGGGGGGAATGGAGGAACAAGCTCCTATTAGACCTCCTTAATTCAGAAGTCTGGGGCTTGGGGAAGGGATCTGGTTTGAGACAGTCGTCAGCCATGTGAAGAGATGAGCTCGGCCTGGAAGACTGTGTGGAGGAAGAGAGGCACTCTGGGGGCATCCTTTAAGTTGTTTTCCACAGGTATTTTGCCACAGTGACGAAAAGCTGACTACCACAGAGGTGTCCTGTGTCTCACAGAATCCTGTCACACGTAGGCGGTGGCTAGGCCATGTGGAGGAAGGGTAGCCTCACAGTAAAGGCCCAGGATCAGCTGCTACCCCACCCCGGCACCAGGCTCTCTTCAGGGAGATCTGAGCAGTGCACCTTGGTGACCACCACAGCCTGTGTTTATAGCTGAGCAGTGGACAACAGTGCCCCCTCAGAAGCAGGCCAGCGGCGATGACTGGCATTGACCTTCCTCCTGCAGGTACCGCAAACTCGCCCTTAAGAACCACCCGCTGAAGTCAGCTGAGCCATCTTCAGCAGAGATATTCAGGCAAATAGCAGAGGCCTACGACGTGCTGAGTGACCGTGAGTGATGGTGGGGCTGAGCATGAGTTACTTCAGGGCTGACTGTCACCCACCCCTCCACTAAGATCATTCCTGAAGTCTCTAGATCATTGGGTTTTCTGAGGGGGACCAGGAGAGAGCATGCATCCATCTTCACTGCCCAGAATGTAAACAAACTGAGAAACCACAGAGTAAAGAGTGGCCTTTCCCAGGGGCCATAACTAAGGTGAGGTTAGGCTCACCTAACCCTGCCAGGCTCACCTTGCCAGGGCTGTGCAGGAACGGGATACATTCCCCGTGTCCCCTGCTCCCTGCATGCATGAAACCTCTGAAGGAGCAGGGAGTGATGCTGGCCATGGAGGGAAAAGCAGCTGAGGCTGAGCTGGAAGGCCCCCGAATCCTCTCCAGACTGACTGAGCAGCTATGCCTCCATGTCCCCAGGGTCAGCAGGAGCATAGAGGGCCAGAAAGCAGGCTAGAGTCACTAGGAGCCCTCTGTCCTCTGGAGACCAGATGTGTGGGGCAAGTGGGATTCACCACCCAACACTGGACAATGCACTGGTGCTTCCCTGAGGGCTTGCTCTGGAGACTGCAACTGTGGACCCTGGGCAGAATGAAGGCTAGGAGGACTTCAGCCTCGTGTTTTCAGACATCACAGTCCTCAAAACTCTAGAATTTGCAGGCTTTAGAATTCTGAGATTCTAAAACATCAAGATCTTAAGATTCATTATTTTACCCCCCCGGTTCTGGGGTTTGAACTCAGGGCCTTCACCTTGAATCACTTAACCAGCCCTTTTTGTGATGGGTTTTTCAAGATAGGGTCTTGCTAACTATTTTCCCTGGCTGACTTTGAACTGAGATCCTCCTGATATCTGGCTCCCGAGTAGCTAGGATTACAGGTGTGAGCCACCAGCACTAGGATAAGATCCTAGGATTCTAAGACAAGAATCCTTATCCACAGATAAGACAGTAGCTGTGAGGACTGAGGCTGACCTGACCCTTAGTCTCTCTGTTTCTCTTCCAACGCCACCTACCCCCAGAAAGTCTGCTTTTGCATCTCTTTTCTGGGCAATAGAGCTCATCCCCAGCTAGGTTCACACAGAATGAAGTCACACCCCTGACTTCTAGAATCTCATTCCAGAGACCACCAGGCAGCAGGCACTTGGGAGATGGGACTGTGTTTGCCCCATCCCTTTCCCCATGCTCCCAGTCCCCAGCCCCTCCATCTTTCTTAGCCCCCAAGACTGGACCCCACCTCAAGGTCACACGTTTTCACAGCTGTGAAGAGAGCCATCTATGACAAGTTCGGAGAGGAGGGCCTGAAGGGTGGGATTCCTCTGGAGTTTGGATCCCAGACCCCGTGGACAACTGGCTACGTGTTCCACGGCAACCCTGAAAAGGTGTTCCACGAGTTCTTCGGGGGAGACAATCCCTTCAGCGGTAAAGATACGCTCAGCCCCTCGCCTCACGGGGAAGCACACAGCTGTAACACATTCTTTTCTTAGAGTAAGAGTAGTGTTGTTTCTTACTTTAAGAAATATGCACAATGAAGGAGCAGAGAGTGATGCTCCTCTCTGTTTAATAAAACATATACACTTTTTTATTTAAAAAAACGGTTAAACAATTTATGGGAAAATAAATTAATTCCATCTCTCCACTTCCTTCTCCAGAAGCAGCCCCTCACTGTTAACAGTCTACATATCCTTCCAGAAGTTTTCTGTGCCTTGGTGGGCATATGTTTATTTTTGCATAAGCCCTTTCTTTTCTTTTTCTTTTTTCTCTTTTTTTTTTTGGCAGTATTGGGGTTTGAATTCAGGGCTTCACGCTTGCTAGGTGGGCAGGCAGGTGCTCTATTACTTGAGCCATGCCCCCAACCCTCTTTGCTTTGGTTATTTTTTAAATAGGGTCTCACATTTTTGCCCTGGACAGTGCTCCTCCTACCTATGTCTCTGGCTTGAGATTGCAGATGCACACTACCATGCCCAGCTTATTTGTTGGGATGGGGTCTCACTAAACTTTTTGCTTGAGCTGGCCTTGAACTGTGATCCTCCATTTCTCCAAATTGCACAGCAGGAAGATTCACAGAAGGAGAATGGGATGGATGCTGAGGGGGAAATTAGAATCCATTGTTAATTACTGGCGTATTGGTGGCTCATTTAGTATCTTTCCAGTCTTTTGCTAACAATGACTATATGGGAAGGTGCCCCTTGTCTCTTTTGAAACAATTCCCTAACATGCTTGTTTCCCTCCAAGTCTGATTGACCTGAGTGTCCAACCCCCAACCAGCATCTGGCAAGAGCAAGTGGATGGGGAGGCGGTGGGTGAAAGCATAGAAGGAAGGACAGATGGACAGAGGCAGGACAGATGAATGGATGAGTGGATGGAGGAGTGAACAGGTTGAGCACATGAGTAGGTAGTCGGTGCATAGGTGGGTAAATGGTGATCATGATCCCAGATTCTACACAAACTGACCAAGAGTTCATTTCAGAGGCTTAGCATTTTTTTTATGTGGTATTTGAACCCAGGGCCTCGAACACTCTAAGCATGTGCTCTAACCACTGAGATACACCCCCACCTTCTCAGAACCATCTTGCAAAGACAACCTTTGAGATTTAGATTCCTGATTCCAGAAAAGTCTAGATTTTCACTGCCTGTCAGTTCTCCTACACCCCACTTCTTCCTGCTACACTACAGCCTTTCTGCATTTCTCCTCTTCTCCATTTAGTAAGTGGCCTGCAGCCCTCCCCTAGAGACCTCACTCACTGCACTGATCTCCCATGTCTGCCAGAGGAAGCTGAGTTTATAAACTACACGTGAGACTGGAAACTGGACAAAGCAAGGGACTTGGAGGCAGAAGGTCCAGTTCAAATCCAGGCACTGCCCTGTAGGAGCTGTGTGAGTCCAGGCACATTTGCTCATCTCCCTGAAGCCTCAGCTTCCTTCCCATTAAATGGCCATGATAATCACGCCTCAAGGGTCATTGTCAAATGAGATGGTGTTTACAAAAATGGACTCTGCAGTCAGAAAATGCTGTATATCTCGGGCCTATCTCTCCTGGGGCAGGCACATGGGAAAAAAGAGGCTCAAAGGAGCCAAGTGAGGCAGGGAAGGCCAGCCTCTGGGTTTGGGGTCCCCGAGGCAGTGCCCAGGGGCTATATTGCTACAGTGCTCTGCTCCAGGAGTTGGCAGGTCCCTTTTCACTGCAGGGTTGAGGGGCTGGGCTTGGCATGTCTACTACCTGGCACACCACAGGTGCCTCATGAACAAATGAATTCAGTAATGCAAGAAGAGGGCCAAGCAATTCGCAGGCCTCTTGATAACCATCACATCTTACTGGGACACTGTGTGAAGTCACCTGACCCTCCTCACCTAAGGTCATTTCACCATTCTAGTCTATGAAGTTCACCCCATGGCATTAACTGTGAAAGACGAGGTATGTAACAGTGACCCCCAGCTCTACAGTGTATGAAGGGCTCCACATCCAGCAATATAGCAAAAGTGGCCAAGGACACAGGGTCTGAGGTCAAATTGTCCTGTGTTGCTGGTCCCAAGGACCATGAGCAATTTGTTTAGCCTCTCTGGACAAATGAAATAAGAAGAAAATTGCTGGCCAGGGAGGAAGAGATCAGGAACATAGAGGTTCGAAGCCAGCCCAGGCAAATAGTCCTTGAGACCCCATCTCAAAAAAACCCATCACAAAAAAGGGCTGGTGGAGTGATTCAAGGTGCAAGCCCTGAGTTCAGGCCCCAGTGCCGCCAAAAAAAAAAGAAAGTGCTGAATACAGTACCTGATCTATAGCCTGGCCTTGAATTCACTATCCTCTTATTTCAGTCTCCTGAGAGCTGGGATTACAGTTATGCATTGCCACACCTGATTTCTTTATCATCTTAACAGTGGAGGGCAGGTCAGCTGTTATTACTCCATCCCATGGACCCGGAAACCAAAGCCTGAAAGACCGCACAGTACTCAGAACAGAGCCAGGATGAGGTTTCCTCTGTACTCGGGGACAGAGGAGCTATGGACGGAGCTCTGGGTATGGCAGATGATGTTGAGGAAGGACGAGCCTGGGTATACTGATGACTTCTACATTTGTCATGGACCAGCCCCTTTCCTCTTCAGATCAGCTGAGAACTTAATAGAAACTTGAGGCTGCGGTCCTTAGGGGTCTTGGGCTGGGCTGGGCTGAGGTGCAATGGAGCTCGAAGGAAGTTTTTCTGGTGCTACCAGTCTCAGGCAGAGAGAGAATAAGGGTACGCCGTTCTCTGAGACAGCTGGAGGAGAGGGCACGTTGTGGGGAAAAGGATCAAGTAGAGGTGAAATGGGGATCTGGCAAGGGTTGATCACCCCTGATCTGGACTTGAGCACAGCTTCTTGCCTCTGAGTTCAAGAGGGGATGAGGTGTCAGGGGTTACAACCGGGGCACTGAAGAGGTTTGGAGGAAACACGGATGGGGACTGGTGTGTGTGTGTGAATCTTTGGATAGAATTTCTCTTACTCCTTTCCCTACCTCCTGTAGAATTTTTTGATGCAGAAGGAAGCGATGTGGATTTGAATTTTGGGGGGCTCCGGGGCCGAGGGGTCAAGAAGCAGGACCCCCCAATTGAACGGGACCTCTACTTGTCTCTGGAGGACTTATTCTTTGGCTGCACCAAAAAAATTAAGATCTCCCGAAGGGTGAGTAGGTGGCTCGCTCCTCCTGGGAGCCACCCTCTTTCCCCAGACCTCCCTGTCTGACCCCAGCTGAAGGACTCGGGGAGGGTCTCTGATGGAACCATGGGATCCTGCATAGAGAAAGTTAGGATCTCAGAATTCTGGAGTCTGGAGTTTGGAGGGGAAAATTGAGAGAATTAGCCCATTTTGTTCCCCTAGTGCAGAAGTGCGCTCTGCAGCCTCCTACTGGCACAAGATCCCTTCCTCTCTCCAGCCCCACCCTGTGGGGACTGGGAGGTGTCTGCGTGGACTTGGTCTCCTGTGACTTCTGCTCTCTGGGCATTTCCAGGCCACACCTCAGGATCTCACCAGGGTGTGTGCCTTATGGGACAGAGGAGCAGTGTGGGTCTGGAGTGTGGGCTGGGAGACAGTCCCCAAGGTGACAGTGAAAGAAGACTCTCATGTGTCCCAGAGTTTAGGCCTTGGCTTGACGTTGTCCCATGGCCCAGCCCTCTGCCTGGCCTCTCATCTTTGCCAACAGAGGAGATGCCAACTGTGGCCACACGCTCCACAGGGGGCACCCACATGGGCACCTGTGATTGGGAGGTGGAGGGACAACAGGATGGGGACGGCTTTGAGGTTCACACATGTTGCTATCTACGTTCTTTCTTCCACTGGATTAAGAGACTTGCCCGAGGCACAGGGCCAGGCCTCTGGGATTTGGAAAGAGAAACGGAATCTATTTTCGCTGTGCATCTGTTAGTGCCCAGGGCTGGAGTTATGGGGTTGTGTTGGTGTCTCAGGTCCCAGTGACCTGCCCTGCTACCCTAGAGTCACAATTTCTTCCTTCCAGTGGCAACAGAATGGGAGCGGGAATGGCTTGGGGCACGTCCCCTACTGCTAAAGGATTTAAAGGGAGCTCGTGGAAACCACCTTTCTTCCATCCGGCTACAGGTGCTAAACGAGGACAGGTACTCCTCTACCATCAAGGACAAGATCCTGACAATTGACGTGAGGCCCGGTTGGAGGCAGGGCACGCGTATCACCTTTGAGAAGGAAGGAGACCAGGTTAGAGAGAGGGAAACTGGCGAGGTCAGTCATGAGGCTCAGTGGTGGGAAGACAGAGGGGAAAGGAGAGAATGCTATTTCCTGTCCCTGTGAACCCTGATCTGGCAATGTGAGATGGTTCCTAATGTGCCTTCCCTGGGATGGAGCCCCTCAGTGCCTCTGTGAGTGGGCAGCTCAGGGATTACCCCCATTTCACAGAGTGGGAAACTGAGGCCCAGAGACAGAAGAGACTTGCCCAAGACAAGAAGACAAGAGCTGAAAGGAGACTCCAGTCTCACCTCTGGTGCTTGTCCTCATTTTCTTCAGGGTCCTCTGAATACTGCTCAACATACTTAAAATAAGTATTTTAAATGAAATACTTATTTAAATAAAAATATACAACTATTGTCCTAGTGATGCTGAGTCCGTAGGGCTGAGAAGAGGCAGAGGCAGAGGCAGAGTGGTGAAGTATCACAGCTGAGAAAGACTAAATCCTCTACCCACACTTGCCTTCTTCTCATCTATAAAACATCTACTTCCAAAGCTGGGCACAATGGTGCATGCCTGGAGTTCCAGCTACTTGGGAGGCTGAGATTGGGAGGATCAAGGTTCAAGGCCAGCCCAGGGAAATAGTTTGCAAGGTCCTGTCTCCAAAATAACCAGAGCAAAATGGACTGGAGGTGTAGCTCAAGCAGTAGCATACCTGCTTTGGGAGTGTGAAGCCCTGAGTCAAACCCCAGTTCTACCAAAAAATCAACTCAAAACAGCCAAACAAAAACAAAACACCCTTCATGACCCAGCCCCAGTGTCCCCACTCTGAGCCCAGACCTGGGTCAGCAGCAATTCAGAGCCTCACCTCTGGGCTTCCCTTATCCCAGCCTGAGCTTGCTGAACAATCGCTGCAGATCTATTTCCCCAATTCAACTTGGAGCCTGCTGGGGAGAGGGGCTGGTTTCATTCCTCTGTCCCCAGTGCCCAGAAGACACCTCAGCACTTTTGCTGACTTGGTGAAGCTCGACTGAGTGTTGTCCCTCCAGACTTACTAGCAGGACAGAGACTTGCGGGGGAAGCCCCTCCCCCGCCACGTTCATCTACTGGGCATGCTCAGTAGAGAGTTACCGCTTGGTGGGGACTCATCCCGTTATGCTCTCAGGGCAGGGACTCTGTGCCACACTGAAATGGCCCTTCCAGAAGAACTTGTTCCAATCTCCCCATTGAACAGAAGACATGGAGACAAATAGAGGCAGGAACTTGGTCAAGGTCGCACAGGCAACTAGTCCTTGTCACCTCTCTTGGCCTCCCCCGCCTAGGGCCCCAACATCATCCCTGCTGACATCATCTTCATCGTAAAGGAGAAATTACACCCTCGCTTTCGCAGAGAGAATGACAACCTCTTCTTCATAAACTCCATTCCTTTGGGCAAGGTGAGTGGGCACAGGTCAGGAGCAGGGCGTGGGGGCCCAAGCCTGAGCCACCTGCACTGCCCTAGCCTTGGGCTCCCCTTTCCCAGTCACTCCCCGTGTCATACTCCATCTCCCCCACTCCCGGTTTGGTCCTGTGTACTGGATCTGTGCAGCAGTCTCTCCTGCCCCCTTCTGCTCTTCTCAGGGATCTTTCCATGCAAGCCCTGACTGCCACCTTCAGCTGTTTCAGCATCTCCAGCAGCATTCAAGGACCTCCTTCAAGGGTCCTGCCAGTCCCTGCCTTGCACTCCAGTGCCCTTGTGTGGCTGAGCATCCCTGCCCAGCGGGCTGTTTCCACACCTTATTCTCTTGTTCCTGCCGGGCTTCTGAACCCAGCTGAGGATGTGGCCGGCAAACAGGCTCATAGCTACCTTCTAATAAGGTGGCCATGTTGACCCTCCCCACACCCATCTTCAATCCTAACCTCCCCAGGCGCTCACCTGCTGCACCGTGGAGGTGAAGACCCTAGATGACCGTCTGCTCAACATCCCCATCAATGACATCATCCAGTGAGTCCACCTACCCGGGCTGTAGTAGCCCCCGAACTAACCTAAGATTTAGACGGAGGTGTCAATCATGTACAGTTGTGCAGGCTGTACCCAACACCAGGGTCCCCTGCTGAGAGGTGAGAGGAAAGGGAAATCATCCCACTCTCTGGCCAAGATGTGGGCTGCATCACCTGGAAAAGGAGCACCTTTTTCTAATTTGCATGAAGCCCTGATAGAAGCTAGAGGCCCCCAGTGTTGGGCAATCCCTATGTATCCCCAAAACTTCTCTTAGAGTCCTGAGTTGCCTCCCGTAAGTTTTTCTGAGAAAGGCCCTCTGTGTGGGAAGGTTGCTCAGCACCTCCACCCATACCCCGGGGTCCGCCCTGTTTCCCAGATCTAAAGCAAGATTCCTGGGTCTTCCAGCAGAAACTCAGCGTGAGCAAGGTTTTCTGGGAGCACACTGTTTCGAACAAGCCAGTCTCCCTTCCCCCCACCCCCCCAGTTCTGCTAATGAGAGCTGGCCCACAGTGGCAGCTCTGGGACCCCACAGGGCCTGCTCCCGTGGTTATGTGAGCCAGGGTGGGCTCTGGGGTGTTCTCTAAGCTCCCTTCTTTCATCCTCCTGTCTCAGTCCCAAGTACTTCAAGAAGGTGCCAGGTGAGGGGATGCCACGGCCAGAGGACCCCACCAAGAAGGGGGACCTGTTCATCTTCTTCGATATCCAGTTCCCCACCCGCCTCACGCCGCAGAAGAAGCAGATGCTGCGCCAGGCATTGCTGACCTAACTCTGGGGGCTGTGGCTGGGCCCCACCCACCCCGTCCACGCCACCCTACAGCCCTGCAGATGTGACGTCAGGGTGGAGTGGTGTGGGACCTCTGGCTGACGCAATAAAGATTTATTTCTTATCCTCCGCCCGTGTCCTGGAGAGGAATGGTCTTCCCTGCTGGGAACCTGCGTCCTGGCCTGGCTTTGTGCGCATGCACAAAGTCACGAGTCGTCAGCGCCTCGCGTTCCCACCGTGGTAGCACAGGACAGGGCTACCAGGCTGTGTGACCTCTGAGGATCAACTCTCGGCTCTGACTTTTCAGAATACATGATCTTCAGAGGGGGGCAGTTTCTGGAATGTGACATGTCACAGTACAGTTTGAAATTTTTTTTTTGGTACTGGGGTTTGAACGCTAGGCAGGTGCTTTACCACTTGGGCCACACCTCCAGCCCAAGACAGAAAAAGTAAAGCAAAAAAAAAGAAAGCACTTGCCCCAGCTCACTCAGGCCTCTGCACAAACCAGTCATCAGAACCTTAGGTCCACTTTCTGCACTCACCAGCTTGGATTAGTGGCACACAAAGAGCACAAGTGCGAGCACCATCTTGGTTTCTACCTCTACAGCCTCCAGTCCTGTCTGAGATGAGTCCTGGGCTGTCTAGGCAACCCTGCACCACCACTGCCCCCTTGCAGCTGTTATTGTCCTGTCCGCCCCGCCCCCAGGCATGAGGATTGTAGGGTCACTGATGTGAACGTGCTTGGTGAATTCATGCTTACCTTTTGGAAGGGTTACTGTTGCTGCCCACGTGGCCTGCGAGTTTCAGCCTCCAAGTCCCGCCCATGGCTGTGTGTCCCACACTGCCTCTCCAAAGGCAAAGGCAGGACATGATTCCCCTATCTGGTGTCAGTTTGGGTTCACCCAGGCTTATGGAGAGAAGGGGAGTTGCTTCAGAAGTTCAAGGAAAGGCCTTGCACGTGGTCCATATTGCTTGGAATCCCATCATTGCAAAGCACCATATCAGCTTGTCTTTTTCTTAAATGGGAGCTCACTTAGAAATAACTTTTTTTTTTTGGATAGGATCTTGCTGTTGCTTAGGCTGGCCCCAAACTCCTGAGTTCAAGTAATCCTCCAGCCTCATCAGCCTCCTGAGCAGCTGGGACTACATCCAACCATACTTTTTTTGGTGGGACTGGGGTTTTGTACTTGCAAAGCAGGTGCTCTACCACTTGAGCTACACCTCTAGTCCATTTTGCTGTGGTTAATTTTAGAGATGGAATTTTTTGAACTATTTGCCCAGGCTAGCCTCGAACCATGACACTCCTGATCTCAGCCTCCCAAGTAGCTAGGATTGCAGGTGTGAGCCATCAGCACCCAGCTGGGGTAGCCATCTTTAAATCATTATGAGGCAGTAGCAGAAAGACCTTGGGATGAAGCCCCTGGGGTCAGGGTTCTAGGAAGCACTTCAGCTTAGTAGTCATGTATGAGGGCTTCAGTGTGTGCCTTGGGCAAATAACCTCTCCAGCCCTTTTCTTTTTGGCAGCACTGGGGTTTGAACTCAGGCTTTCATGCTTGCTAGGCAGGTGCTCTGACTGCTTGAGCTACTCCCCCTTTTTTTGTTGGGTATTTTCAAGATAGGGTCTTGTGAACTATTTGCCTGAGGCAGGAGGTCCTCACAATCACTGCCTCCTAAGTAGCTAGGATTACAGGTGTGAGCCACCAGCGTCTGGCTGGGCTCTTTTCTTACAGTAACCCCAATGTTACAGGACTTCCATGGAAACCAAATGATGGAGACCCTTCTCTCTGAGGCAGATTCCAGTGGAGGGAGGTGATGGTAAATGCCCCTTCGGAGAGCAAGCTTTGGGTGGGTGAAGGAGCCACTGCTCCTAACCCTCCTGCTGGGTTCTGAAGGCCTCAGGCCTGAAGACAGGCCTCTTTCTATCAGTGATAGGTGCTACCTTACAAGTCAGGCAAAGCAGAGCTTAGTATGTGCCCATTCTGTAGGCATTTCTGCGGCCTACTGGTTAATTTTCCCATGATTCCTGCCACCATGATGAAGTCTGGTGGCCTTATGTTCAGCTCAGTGTCTGGGACACAAGTCTGGCAAACAAATCAGCCCACTGATTGCTCACCCTCACCTAACCAGTTTAGCTACTGGTGAAATACCTTGGGCAGCAAACTGCCTCTTTCCGCCAGTGCAAGGCTGATGACAGCCCACCTCAAAGGATTTGTGAGGCTGGGGTCAGACCTCCATTTATGCCAACGCCCTACAGCCTTGGAGAAAGCACTCAGGCTGGGCTGCCTGTCACCCTCACTCTGGCTTACTGCATCATGGGGACCAAGGCCTCAGCTGCAGTTTTGAGACTCTGGGAAGTAAGATGGTGAGTCCTGGGTCCTCCTGTCTAAGCACTGAAGGGTCCAGCCTCCAGATCTGACCCATAAGCTAATGAGGAGTGGGAGGGGAAGAAGTGCCAGCTGCCTTAGGCTGGGAAGAGGGAGGCCCTGTCTTCTGGGCCTGGCTCCATAGCTGCCAAATTGACTTCCCCAAGGACCCTCATACCGGCCACCTGGGGAGAGTCCAGCAGAGGGTGGAAGTCTTGAGTCCTGTCCCAGTTCAGCTACTGCATGTATTTCTGTGTATGACCTGTCTCAGCGCTCAGCTGCACAGCTGAGACATGTATAAAATGTCTGAAACATGTTTAAAATGAACCAGAGTGACTTCATTCTATCTGGGACCTCATGGTCCCCCACCCCTTGAAATAGAAGTAGCTTTGCCCACTTGCTTTCCTGTGTCTGGGGACAGGTGTAATAATAGGGACAGAGAGACTAAAACCCCTGAGCACTCAAAGTCCTAGCTTGTCACCGCCTCCTTGGGATCCTTAGGTGGGAGAGGGTGATCCAAACAATGTATCCCCCCACCCCCACCCCCACCCATAGGCCATGTTTGTCTTGTCACTTGAAACCCTGCTGAGTCAGCACCTGCCCCACACAGTTTGGAACCCTTTCTCCTGTGACTGTGGAGGGGGAAGCAGTCTGCCTTGCTTCATAGGTCCAGGATTTTGAGGTGGTTTGTCATTTGTAAAATGGAATAGAGGAAGCCCAAAGCATTGAAGATTCCAGCGTTCCTCTAAATTGTCCAACAAGCAGGAGAGGCAGGGCGTACAGGAGCACTCTCTCTTTGCTGATGAACAGGCCAGGGCCAGCTGGGGGCTGGGAAGGCTGGCACTAGAGAACCAGGCACTTGGAAGCTCAAGTGGCCTGCAAGGGAAGGGCAGGCAGGATAAAAGCTACCACTGTCTCTCTGGGCTGCTCCTCCACTTGCCACCTCAGCCCAGCACCTGGGCCTGTGTCTGGAGAAATGTCCTAGAGGACTTCTATGTGCCCACATTAGATGCTGAAGGTGGATGGTGGGTCACATCCCTTTCCAGTCAGGTGGCTCCTCCCCTCCCCACCAGGTGCCAAAGGGCCCACGGGACCAAGAGACTTCTGGTAACAGCTATGAGAGAGGGAGGAGACACCAAAGTTAAGCTTGCTTTATGGGTGCTGGGCTAGTTGGGCTAGGCTTGGAGTCAAGGCAAAAATTCAGGCTGAACTTTTCAAGGGATGGAGGACTTGGGATCCTGGCTGGTGCCAGGCTTCCTTACTTTCAAATGAGGTCAACTCCACTGGCACTGAGCCAATGGGGAGGTGAGGCAGGGAGGGGTGGGGACGTGGGGAGAGGGAAGGCGGTGGGAAGAGGAGCAGAAGGAAGAAGTGGGGACAGGGAAGGGAAGGAAGGAAGGAAGGAAGGAGGAAAAGGGAAGCAGGGTCCGGCTTGAGCAAAAGCCAAAGCCAAAGGTGTCAGGTCAACAGTAAGAGAGGCTCAAAAGGGTGCCTCCCGGGAAGTGTAAGCAGCCATGAGGGCCCGTTTCAGCTGCTCATAGGTGACAAACATCACCACATTCCAGGATCCCAAGCGGAGAAAGGAGGGCATGAACCTAGGGAAGACAAAACATGGGTTGTAGGGGACACCGCCACCTCCCTTCTCCCACTGGGCCCTGGCATCCAATTCAGTCTGGCTGCTCTGTCCCAGTCGAGGACTCAAGTGAACTGAGCCTCACACCTGTGTGCCTATAAGCAGATTCTCTCTGAGTCCCCTGCTGCTCCCCTCATCCACCCATATTTTTGTGGTGCTGGGGATCAAACCCAGGGCCTCATACTTGACACGCAAGTGTTGAGCTACTGAGCCACACCCCAGCCCTGAGTTCTCATTTTCACACCTACAAAATAGATTTGACACTTGGCTGCTAACTCACTTCCAGATGGTTCTCTCCCACCTGTGAGACAGGTATGGGTGGGGGGATGGAGTTGTGTGGGGGGATGAGAGGCTCACCCTTTATAGAAGGCTCTAGGCCCTTCCTTCTGGAGCATGGTAATGGCGCAGTGGCCAGCGCTGCTGTACTGGCCCAAGGCAGAGTTCATATATCTCGTCTTGACCACGTCGACAGGGGAGGCGATGACGGTGGTGCAGAAGCCCGCCCCAAAGGCGGAAGTGAAATGGCAAGGGAGGTCATCTGCCAGGGAGCAGCAGAGAAGGTAGTGAGTTCTCCCTGCCCCTGGTTCCAGAAGGGAAGAGCATTATTTCATGGTTTTAAAGAAATGAAGAATGCAGCTAGGGCCTCTTATGAGGACCTGAAAGATTTGTCAATCTTGCCTTAGCTCTCCAATGTGCAAAGTGGGAGCTTCTTCCCACTGGCTTCAATACAGCAAAAGAAACAAACTCATTCTATAAGCAAAGGGCAAAAAGGATGAAAAGATGTGGTCTTCAGGCAACCAGACCCCCACACCTGCTCCTGCACCATGGACCCTAACATACCTGTCATGAGGTTGGCCTTCAGGAGGGAGTCCTTGATGAGGTCATAGGTCACCAGCTCAGCACAGTTGACAATAGCATTACGAGCAACATTGGGAGAGGTCCCTACAGGATGCAGGAGGGTGTGTGAGACCAGGCTGTGGTGGAGGGGAAGATGGGGAAGGAGAAACAAGTGGCACATACCTTTCCAGAGCCCTCGGAACCCTTCCTCGCGGGCAATGGTCTTGTAGGCATCAAGAGTGCTCTGGTACCTCCGACTACCTCCAGCCCGGGCCTGAGCTTGGAACCGGACTTTTACCACATCCGTGGGCTGAGCCACAGCAACAGCCAGGGCACCTGTGGTGCTGCCTGCCAGGAGGCGGCTCCCGATGCCAGCATCTGCGGAGACATGGGGGCGGGGGCTCAGAGCCAGCTGGACTTGAACTCATTTCCCACCTCATTTTTCCTCACCCAAACCACCATGAAAGTCATCTGACTTTCAGGGACAGGGTCCAGACCAGCTCTTGCTCTAAGAATTCACGTAAAGCACAGTGTCTTTCCTAAGACATATTCACGTAAGCTGGTCAACAGCCCAGAGAAATCAGAATCATTTAACAACAGTGAAAACCAAGACTAAGAGAGGTGGCTTTCTGATGAACTGGGACTTGGTAAGATGAAGGTTCTCACCCCAGATCTACTTCTCCCTGCCATGTGACCTTGGGAAAGTCAACCTTTGGTTCTGGGTACTCAGCTGCCTCCTTGACATGGTGTGCTAAGAAGGTGAAGAGGAAGAATGCCAGCCTTGGAGGCAAGAGTCCTGGGTGTGATTTCTGGCTTCCTGTTGTGTGCCTTTGGCCAAATCCTTTCCTCATTTCAAGCCTCAGTCTTTTCATCTGCAACACTGGGATGATGTCTTGCTCAGAGGCCAGCACAGCCTAGATGCTCAGGAGTCATTAACAGAATCAGGGCCCCTTCCCCGTCTCCATTCCTCTGAGCCTCCTAGGGATCTTGGGACATAAAGGAGCTATTCAGCTATCCAAATTAAGATCAATCATTGGCAAGAGAAAGGCCAAAACCAAGGCCAAGGCACCTATGTTCCAGCTCCACACTCACGTTCAGAGCCCTTGGTGTAGAACTGCTTGACCGAGTCGTAGAGGCCGATGCGGACGGAGGCGAAGCTCATCTGGCGCTGCAGGCCGGCCACCAGCCCGCTGTAGAGGCT